TTTCATGGTCACCATGTTCTCAAAAATGTAGCATGTCTCCTTGGGCCTGACAGACCCGCGTGAGCCACGACTGCTTCATCCCCTCGTAAAGCTGCACGCATGGAATTCCCTCCTGGCATATTGTAATTTATTGTTTGTTAAATATTTAACTGTGCAAATATTTACAAACCGGAGAAGATCCATTCTGTGGACAGGATGAATTTTTCCTTTTTAAGCTCATTGAAAAAGCCTTCAAAAAATTTTTTTCTCTGATGCTTTCCACTAATGTGTTACATGGATGCTGTAAAGTTTGTAATTTACGGAATTACCTAAAAGGAACTGGCAATTTTAGGACCTTTTCTTATCTCTTTCCTATATATGATACAGAGTTTAGTAATCAGTGGTTTTGTGTTGATACAGCACCCAGGATGCCCTATGACATCGCTGGTTCCACTCCAGAGCAGAATAGGGACATCTATTGCCACAGCCCCCAGCCTCGCAGGGTGCCTGGCGGCGCTGGCGCCGTGTGCTGCGGCTTGTCGAGCTCAGCACACGCCACGTTCAAGGACGGCCGACGTGCTTTCACTCTCCTTCTCTGTTCTTGTCTTCCTTCTCATCGGCCTCCGTGGTGGTGCCGAAGAAGTGCCCACCTGGCGTCGGAACGGAGCAAACCGTGAGCAGCCCGCGCGGCTGCGTGTCTTACCGAAACTCAGAGACTCGTACAACGGGCCGGAGCTGCTGCGTTCAAAGCAGACCTGGAGAAAATGGGTTCTTGCTTCCGAGCCTGTGCACCGGAAAAGTAAAATTTTCCCCTTAATTCATTGCCATTCTGATGTAGCACTAAACAAGTGCTACAGTTTATTCTCTTGATCTATTTAATAAGCTCTTTCCATCGCTCTTACCAGAAGTTTGTGTAAGAAGAGAGGATCTGTTTTCACCTAGGAGTCTGTGCTCGCTCTTCCTTCCTACTTCATCTTGTAATATTCTAGTGAAATCACAATAATTTCCAAAGAAATTTAGATTAGACCCAGTGAAGGAAGCAAGGACTATTAAGGCCGCAGTGAGCTTGCCCGGGAAGTTTAAAACCTCCAGCACCCTCCAACAAACCCTTCTGTGCGGGACAACTGGAAAGGTGCCCGCTCCTCGTGCAGCCTTTCGCGGGGACGAGGGTGCCGCTGGCCGGGCTGAGCTCTGCGGGGAGTTGCACACACCTCGGGGCCGCCTGCGTGGTCCCTGCTGGCCAGGGGGAAGGGGCTGGTGCTCGCCTGGTCTGAGCAAAGGAACTCTGAGCCCAGAGAACTCGTTAGTCAAAACGTAAGATTTAGTGAATGTAGGAATTCAAGGGGGTTAAATAGCCACTGAGCCAGGATTTGGGAATCTTAGCTTTGGAGTTCAGCCTGTCGAAGTGTAGCTAAATCCTGTTTGTGCCGACTGCCTTTGGGGATCTGACCCCTGCTTGATGGGCTGTGTAGGAGCTATTGTCACAAAAAAACCAATGCTTTAAGCAAATGTCTGCCCAAGCACCCTGTGTTACCTGCTCGTGAAAGGGAAGAAGAACCACCAGGACATTCACGTCGAGATGGGTGGGCTCCGGAAGGGCTGGCTGGTTTCTGCCTTGCCCCCACCAGGGCAGGGAAATGGCACACTTGACTGCGCCGATTCTGGAGCCCAGGAATACAGCCTGGGTGTTTGACAATGAATGGGGCTCACGATTAATGCTAAACAAAATATATGCATAGGCAGTTTTGAAATTACATCCGTGCCTTCGAATGGGCAAATGAATTGCTCTGGGAGTGCTGAAGCCAAACACACAGCAGCGTGTGTGCACATTTATTTTTGCCTCAGGTTGTTCTGAAAGTCTTGTTCCAACACGTACCACAGTTTTCTTCTCAGAGCACTTATAGCAACACCAGATAAGTATCCAAATTGCAACATTTTTTGCTCATAAAATTAAAGCTTATTATGCCGATTAATCCCTAACAAAATGCACACAAATAAATAGTGCATGGTTCTCCTCTCTGCTCTTAATGTCTCTGGAACCCCACTTTAGTCATGCCCTAAGCTTTGACACCTGACACTACAGTATGTGTATTTCTTACTCCTGCTTTAGTTTTGGTTCTCTAGCTCTGTTCCTCCACGTAAGTTTTTTTGATCACTGTTGTTATTACAAGCCCACTCTCAGTAAGCAAATGCTGGTGATAACCCAGAAGAGATTTTGTATCTACAAAATGGAAAAGGAAAGAATACTTAAACTGGCACTTTTTTCCAGGGTATGGTAAGAAACCATCTAAATTCAGTCTTCTTTTTGTCTGTAGTGAGCACTAGTGCCACGATTAAGTTGGTATTTTTTGAAGTTTATTGGTGGCTCATATTTATTTTGTCACACACTGTATCATGTAGCAAATAAATTTTATTATGAAGCTTATTTGCATTATAGATGCAGACTCATTGCATGCAAGGAACATTAGAAGAACACCTTGTTCAGAAAGGTACAGATTTTAGGTAGGGAAGAAGACAGTATGAGCAATGCTGAGCAGTAAAAGTAGCAATAACAATATGATGTGCTCCATAATTAGGTAACTGGCAGTAAAAATACTAAAAGTAAGTTGTATTTCTGGAAAGAAGTACAGGGCCGAGGAGCGAGAGGGGTCTGCAGTCCTCAGAGCTGCGCCGGTGGTGCGGAGCAGCCAACTCCAGCACAGGCTGCTCCTCGGAGCAAGTTGTGTCCGGCCTCCCGGGGCTGCCGGCCGGCAGGGGCTGGGGATGGCCTGGAAATCACCCTGCAAAAGCCCTTTTTCAGGAATGAAGCAGGAATTCAGCAGAAACAGTCCTGAGATAACTTGGCAGGCTCCTGGAGGAGATACGAGGAGCAGGACTGCTGTACTGGGAGCGTTCTTTAATTTGGGCTGTTGGTTTAGTCTCCTGATCAGACAGGTCTAGAAGAGAGTTGTCACAGCCTGCAAGAGGTGTGAAACCAGCAGAGCACCCAGACCACGTGGGCTGTGGGGCTACTGGCGACACAGAGGCAGGTGTGACTCGGTGCTGAAGGGTTTTAGAACTGAAGTGGGTGATTTTGCAACAGGAGGGAGATGGGGTGTCCTTGCAAAATGATCAGCACAGCCCCTTTGCGTGGCAGGTCAGGGCTGTCGGCGCGTGCTTGTGTCTGAAGTGGTCCCTCATGAAGGTCAGCCAGCTCCTCAGGCCCCCAGAGAGATGCTGGTCAGAAAAAAATTTTCTTCTAAAGTTTTTTTTTCTTTTCAAATGCTAATCACGTTGGCTGAGAGCCTGGCATAAGGCAACGCAGTGAATCACTGGCACAGATCTGCCTGGAACTCGGGCGCTCAGGATTCCTGTTCCCACGGTCACCCACTCAACCCGTGTTTCTCAACCTCCTCCAGCGAGTGATGCCTTTCTCAGTGTGGAAAAAAACTCTCAGGACTGCAAAACAGAGAGAGAAAAACTTAATGGTTTCCTTTGTTTGTGTCTAAGGAGGTGAGTCGAGCAGTGCGAGGGATGGAGAGTGTCTCAGTGGGCAGGTGCCACCTGAGAAGTTCTCTGAACAAGTTTCAGGTGAAATTCCCCATTAGCTCATTTCTGCAGTTCAGCCCATGGAATTCCTGCTTACACAGACCCCACACTTTCACCAACCTCAACAGAATGGAAAGCACTGTAGGGGATCCAGCACGGGGGAGTGGGCAGGGAGAACCCTCCGGCCAGTTGGTGCCCGTCCGGGGCATAACGGAGGGAAACATGGGTGTAATTAAAACAGAGAAAAACTTGAGTCTCTCTTTAGGGCATTTGCACCCTTATCGCTGGGAGCTGTCCCTGTGCTGTGCGATCCGTCGGCAAACCTTCCAATTGTTCGGGGAAGCCTTTCCCTTGGATATCTTCTTTTTTCTCTTTCAACCTCCCACTGGGTTTTGTAAAATCACATCCTAAATACGACTGATTTGCCAATCTTCTGGTGAAATGTGCACCTGTCACACGTAACCATGAGAAGTGCCCTGAAGTGGCAATGCAGAAGAGGGCAGGTTCTGCACAGCCGCCCGACAGCAGGGCACGGCACGGGCACGGGCAGTGCAGCTGCCCTGTGAGTTCCTCTGTGACACCAGATGGGTGCATCTGGTCGTGCTCCAGCTTTAGGGATTTATTTTACAGCACAGAACTGCTGCCACAAAGCAGGGCCAGCCCGTTGCTGAACTTTTGTGCACGTTACCCCGTGTGTGCCCGACGGGTGGCACTCCAAATGTGTTCATTCTGGATAATCGATTGCACACGATTTGAGTTCTGCACTCTGGGGTGGTTTTGGCACCGGGAGCTGAAAACTTCCATCTTTAAATTCCATTATAAAAAAATTTCATAATGCATTTTAGTGATTCCTTAGGAAGATTTTTTTTTTAAGAGACTTTCTAGGGAATAGTCAGTTCCTTAAACCCACCGCCTCTTTGCCTGATAGAAGTTAGTAGCAGGAACGAGTAGGTTTTTTGACTGTTAGTTTTCCCGTTGCAGGGATTACCGGAGCACTGTGCCCAGCAGTGTATTGCTCAGAGTTTTGCCCAGTTACTCTTAAATGGTGAATGTGTCGCTGCAAACTTTTGGGTCTTGCACATAGTCTGACAAGTTCCTGTGTATTCCAAAGGGAGGGCTTGATATTTGTAACTGATTCAAACAGAAATGTCTGCTAAAGGAAACTTCTGCCAGACACGGCTTTCTGGTTGCATCAGAGAGAAGCAAAGATTTATTAGCATTTATTTTGGAGGTTGTTTTTTTCTTTTTTTCTTTTTTTTTTTCCATGAGAGTACCAATCACAGGGGAGATTAACTCGGGTGGCAGTGATTAGGCAGAGAAATTCAGAGGGAAGCAGCAGGTCGGCCATCCAGAGAGTTCTGACGAGCCCCTGGAGTGGAGAGTGTTGAGTAACTTGAGCTTGGCAGAGGCGTGATGGGACACGCTCGCTGTGTTCCTGCTTGGTCCAAGCGCCCACCGGTGAGGTCCTGCCTGGAAGCTGCTGGTTTTCTCCATCAGTCCTCCGACTTTCTAAAACTCCCTGCTGGAAGATGAAGGGAAGCAAGAATTTCTTTAAAGAAGTGTTATCTCCTTCAGCATTTTTAATGGTTTTGTTACTTCATAATTATAGACTATGAGGTTCTCCGAGAACTAGATTTTTCCCCAGCACTCTGGAAAGGTTCAAACAGTGTCAGACTCAATATTTGTACCAGCATGTGGGTTTGCAGATTTATTGTATTAAATACTTGGACCTGCTTCCATTCTCAACTGTGCAGGTGTAAATCACACTTTAAATTTAGAGTGACTGTAGCAGCACAAATCATACGCAGCTGAACCCAGGATCTGTGTTTATGTGTCTGTGGGTATTTACAACAAACTTGTAACAGTTGAAGTCGGATGGCACGTAATATACTTTAACCTACCTACCAAACCTGAGTGGATGTCGGACTGCTGGAGTCAGACACCCTGTCTCATCTACATGCTTGATCAAAGGAGTAAATTTTTATGGTGGAGTTTGTGAAGCCCATTAATTTTTAAAAACTAGATCTCATCTGCACCAAATCTTACAAACAGATCTTCCTCGTTACAGAAAAGCCTTCTGAATTCACCGCCTTTGTTTTCAGCAGCAAGAGTCTGCGCACGGGATTCTTCTGCCTGTGCGAACGGCGTCAGGCCTGGGGGCTGTGGCCAGGGCTTCCGTGCTCAACTGCCAGCCTGCCGTGGAAACAGCACGGCTGGGAGACAGACCACGTTTTTGAGGAAGCTGAATATCCCCGATACTTCCTTGGTAAGAAGGAATAAATCCTCAAAGCAGGATCATTTTCCATCTTTTCTTTTTTTTTTTTAAATCAGAAGTGGAAGAGAATCTTTCTAAAAATTCTGACCTCCTGTTCATTTTCAGCATTTTTAGGCATTTGAGATGCCGTCAGGACCTGGAGCCTTACCCGATCTGATCATTTTTATGGCTTCAGACACTTCCTCCATTGTTGCTCCTCTCTCCAATGTTTTATTTCCTTCCAGGCAGAGCTTCAGATTTTCAGCACCTCCTGGAATCACAGCCATGGAATTAGATATGGAAAAGGTCTTTTGGCCACTCCCCATCTTTTGCTACTTCAGGATTTTTCAGCTAATGCCCTTTATATTTTAAATGTCAGAAGTGTTCCAAAGATTTTACCCAGCTTTAACCATTTTGCCGCCTTAATACCAGTTACATTTCTAACATTTGGCTTCATTCCGAAACTACCGACTTCTCTGGTTCCCTCCATGCTTTGGGTTGGGCATTACTTTTCCTTTTCTACTTTCATTTCCTCTTTCTACACGTCCTCTGATACCACTTTTCGTAACATCTCCTTCCTTCGAGTCGCTTGTGAAAATACCACCGCGTTGCCATGTTACTGTGTAAGAACAAACATCGGGGTGGACTTAAAAAATGGTTCAGAAAAAATAGCAAAAATATCTCCAGATTCCCAATGAGGAAGGAAGTCGTCATGTCCTTTCCTGCTATTCGGAGCAAAAAGTTAAGGGAAGAACGTACTCTTTTATTCCAATTTTTACCTTGGCTTTCACAAGACTTGCCAGACTGGGAGTGGGAAGATGAAGAGCGGGAGAGGCAGGATTTGCTCCCTCCTCCTCCGCCACTGTCACTTCCTCCAGCTGAAGTTTTCCCACAGGCTCCACCTCCTGTTCTTCCTCCACTCCCTCCTTCTCCACCTCCAGAAGAGGAAGTTCTTCCGTAGGATCCTCCAGTTCTTCCTCCACTGCTTCCTCCACCTGAGGACCAGCTACATCCTCCTCCACTACTTCCTCTTCCAGAAGACCAGCTAGTTCCTCCATGACCTCCTCCTCCTGAAGATCCACCACCAGCTCCTCCCTGGGAGATGCTGTAAGGAGGAAAGGGCCTGTGTGTATAAGATCTATAGCAACACGACCAGTGTCTGTCATCCTGTCAGATGTATCGAGGCCACTTTCGGACTCCCTCTGGCCAACTCGTGTGACTGAGGAGGTCCTATTGTGTGAAACATGTTCCAGACAACTAGTTTTAAACTATCCTAATTGAGGACAATTAACTGATCTGCACAGAAGAAGGAAAAGAAAGCTAATGAATGGATTTAGATGTCTTTTAAAATATGTACCTTGAGTATTTATAGTAGTCAGTTATTTCCTTGCTTATCTTTCATTTTCATACATAGCTGTACTTCCTCATTGCACTTAGGAGAAGAAATGGCATATTATAGTGCTGAATACTTTTTGAAAGGTTTTTGTCCAGTTCATAACAAGTATCGAATGATGCAGCTTTGTACTCTGCCAGCTAAGATTTAGACTCTGTGTGAATTCTTGGGATCCCAGTAAATATGTCGATGATGAATCAATTGCTCTAGTTCCTCATATAAATATTGCTGCTTTCATCTGCACCCCTTTGCACCCATGGCATGTTAATTACCCTGAACGTACGCACCTGATATCGTGCTGCCCCTCCTCGAGCAGTGCCCGGTACTGGGCAATCTCCTGCTCCAGGCGGGTCTTGATGCCCAGCAGCATCTTGTACTCTTCGTTCTGACTCTCCATCTCGCAGCGGATGCTGGCCAGCTCCTCCTCCAAGGGGCCGATCATGCCCTGGATCTGCTGCAGCTGCATGTTGTAGCGACGTTCTGTGTCTTCCAGGTTGGATTGCAAAGACTGTGCCTGAGAATGAAAGAAAAAATACAGCGTTTATGGGAACGTGGCAGGTTATGGGCATCTGGCAGGATTAGATCATTCTGACACCCAAAACGAGAAAATCTTACGTGGTGCCAGAAGCACCAGGCATCTCCGTTCAATGGAGCGGCAGCTACAGCTGACCTCCTGTCATCCCGGCAACTCCGGTGTTGTTTGCGTATCAGGGGATCAGAAGTGGTCACCTACCGTGCTGATCTGCGACTGCAGCTCGATTTCCAGGCCCTGGTATTCACGTCTCAGCACGGAGATCTGCTGGTTGCTGGATTCCACTTCCTGGCCACTGGAGTGGACTTGTTGACTCACTTCCTCCATCTGAAAAATTAATGCACAGAATTGGAGTTTTTTGGTTTTGCTTACGATGCCAGGATGGTGGATTATCACGGGAGCATCTGGCAGCACGAGTGGAAGCAGGACCACTCGTAATGCAAGGGCTGCTTAAATCTGCTTGTATGGATCTGCCAGAGCAGTTCAAGCCCACTGGTGATTTCCTCTATTTGAATCACAGAGATTCCACCATTATATCCTGAAAGCAGTGGAGGTTGTTGTTTAAAGTGTCATTTATCTACAGGAAGTTCTTTCCAAACGTTGGTGTTGGTTGTTTTTGTAATGTGAACATTCAAACTGTAACCATGTACCTTGCTTTCGTACCACCTTTCAACCTCTTCACGGTTTTTCTGAATAATATTTTCATATTCTTGTCTCATATCATTCAGTTTTTTCAGTAGATCCTCTCCGGGAGCAGCGTTCACCTCCACATTCACATCACCACTGGACTGGGACTGCAGCGATTCCATTTCCTGCAGAAAGAGCCCAGGCCCAGGGAAACACGCAAAAATGGTGAAATTACTTTGCGAGAGAGTTTGGAAGTCAGTTACTTGCTCTGAAGTCCCAAACCATCCCGGATCCGTTCAGCAACATGCAGATAATTTCGTGTTGCAATTATTTGGCCCTGACTGCCCAGTCGTTGCTGGGGGACTGTGCTGGGGGGCCCTGGCCAGCCTGGGCCGGGCAGTCGGCCGGGCTCTGGAGAGCCCTTCCCAGTGCAGAGGATGTTACCTGTGAAACCTCCCCGTTTTTCCAGTATCGGAAGTGCTCCTGTTTTCCTTTGCCGTCTGCGTTTTGAGGAGCTGGCTCTTACCTCCTCGTGGTTCTTCTTGAGGTTAATGATCTCCTCCTTCAGGGACTCAAATTGCATTTCCAGGTCAGACCTGCTCAGAGTCAGATTGTCCAACAAGGGTCGCAGGCTGTTGATGTCGGCCTCCACGTTCTGCCGGAGAGCAGATTCCGTCTCGTACCTGTGCCAAGGACAGTGCCAGGAGGTCAGCCCTGGTCTTGGGCCCTCGGCCCCGCTCCTGCTGACGTCATTTCTGAGTTCACCTATTCCAGTGTCTCAGCATCTGCTTTTGTCTCTGTGCTCCGTGGCACATCGCGTCTCTCAACCAGCAGAGTTATGAAATCAGCAGCCACTACTCAAAGTTTAATATTCATCTTAAAACTCAATATTAAAATATTTTCTGTGGCCTTTCTCATTGTCTCTTCTTACCGTAGACTTTGTGCAGGTTTCATCTGTCTGCTTCGTCTAACTTTCAATGGGAGAAAATCACAATTTTTCTTTCCTTAAAAAAAAAGCTTGTTTTAAGCTTTGACTCCACAGCCATAGGGAGTGTTCCCCTTGAAGATCGTTATAGAAATAATAAATTATTTCAGTTGTGCTGCCATGGAGCCAGGAGGAGCCCAAGTCTGTGGAATTGACACTTGTTTATGGAATGAATTTACGAAACTAAGTTGAGGAAAGTAGGAGAAAGGAAGTCAGTGCCTGGAAAAGAGGAATATATATTTACTTTATCCTGAAGTCTTCTGCCGTCATCCTGGTGTTGTCCAGGTCCAAAAGCACCTTGTTGGTTTCCACAGCCGCAGTCACAAGCTGGAAGAGAAAATGATATGCTGAGGAAGATCTTCCCTGTGAATCCCTCAGATTTTCACAGGGGACAAAAATATGAATGTGATCTTGTTGTGATCGCCGGGTGTCTGAGGGGAAAAGCACAGGAAAACTGTTGTGTGAGTACAGGAGTCCTCTCGAGGCTGGTGTCACCGCCAAGGATCTCCCTCACCTTCCATGCCCACGGGCCGAGGGCTGTACTCACACGTCGACACTGCGCATCCCAGTGGGTAATTGTTACCGTTTTTGCTGTGCTTTAAAACCCACCACAGACGTTCTGAGAGCCTGGACGTGCTGCCGGCGGCCGCTCTGTGGGGTGTGCTGCAGGGGATCTGCATCGTTTCTCCACCTCTACTTGGAGGTAGTTGGAGGCAGGCGCAGAAGGCAGAATTTCAAGTGCAAGAAGCACTTTCGGAGAGACACTTAGTGAGTTTAGAAGTATCCATGCTGGCTGCCTCAAACATTTTGCTCAATCACAAAAAAGTCTGTCAATGCTTAAACTTCTCTGACAAAGAACATCCTACCTGGTTTTGAAGGTCTTCAATTTTTTGATAGTATTGGCTGTAGTCCCTGGTACCAGTAGGGCCTTGCTTCTGGTACCACTCCCTGATTAGTTGTTCAAGCTGGGCATTTTCCATTTCCAAATTTCTGACCGTAGCCAGGTAGGAAGCCAGGCGTTCGTTAAGGCTCTGCATGGTCAGCTTTTCATCGTTGGAGAGAATTCCCGCATGCCCTCCAGGAAAGCCACCACTGCCAAAGCTGCCACCACTGAAACCAGCACCTCCACCAAAGCTTCCTCCATAACCACTACCAAACCCACTCCCCCCTGATCCAAAGCTTACTCCCATGCTGCCACAGCCCATTCCCCCTCCATAACCACCACCGCTCATTCCCCCTCCGTAATAACCGCTGCTCATTCCTCCTCCGTAACTGCTGCGCCGCATCCTTCCGTAACCACCACCGCTTGCTCCTCCACCATAGCTGCTCCTGGAGCTTCCTCCGCCACAACTGCTGCCAGAAATCCTGCTGCCACCGCTTGTCCTAGAGGTGATTCTTGAGGAGGCAGAGGAATACTTACTGCCCCCTCCACCACCACCACCACCACCACCACCACCGCTGCTCCCTCGCAGGCAGCTTTTAGAGGTCTGCTTGGAGCCACAGCTCATAGTGGCAGCAGCGAGTGATCCGGGTCAGAGCTCCAAGCTGGTCTTACAGTTGTTCTGGAATCATAGCTCCGACTTCCACCCTGCCTGGGCCGCATTTATACCAGGCTCGTGGGTGTCACCGCCGAAGGGAGTACCTTCTTCCCAAGTGCGTTTACAAGCCGTAGGTTTTCTGCCAAGGGTAATTTGCCAAGGGGAGATGTTTGACAGTGGCAGGAAGCATCACCCATACGCAGAGTGTTCACCACCGTTTGTTTGTTAATACAAAACATGTAATTTCTGTTGGGTGGCCCTGAATTAGGTGGATCTTCTCTGTGATCTAGTCCACTGGCTTACAGTCATCTGGATTAAACTCATCCCACCCACCTCATCCTGCTTACCTCTCTTTCAGAGCAACAATAAGCTGTCACGATACGGGACAGTAAAGAATGGTACTGTCTCTCTTCTAATGGAGTTGTTCCTTGTGTTCTTTCCCCTTTCACATATTTGTCAAGGAATCCCAGCTGTTTTTTTATATTTCAGTATAAAAATATTTTAATAGGTTCTGATTTATGGTTCTCTTATGCTGTATGCTCCTTATTTTTAGTCTCTTATTGCTCTATGCCTTTTGAAAAGGTATCACAGGATGTGTTTTGGGCACTGAACCACTCTGACATCTTTGTAATTCCTCATAAAAACTTAGTCAACATTGGCAAATATCATGTGTGTTGGCAATTTATTCCAAACATACATCTACAATTATGTTCTATAAATTACAATTTAATGATGAAAAATTGCATGACAACAACTGGCAAATAGCTCTGTGTAAGACTGTAAGGAGAGGAAGCGGGATGGGTTGTTGGAGGGAATAACTCTTCATGTGCTTGGACCAAATGCAGTTACAGGGTGGTCGAGAGACCTGGGAAAGCATCCGGGCCCTGGGCGGGTGTCCCGTGGCATGTCTGTGGATTTCAGAGGTAATGTTCTCACTCCTGAAGGGATTTCAAAATTTCAGTCGGGATGTTTTCCTTCCGCAGTGCAAATACAAACTTACTCACTCGGAGGAGAAAGGTTAAGTTCCTGGGTTTGGGATTAAGTCAACACAATTGGAGCTGTACATCAAAACAGCATTTTCCTTTCAGTTGTGTTTTCCATTCGTGGATACAGCGTGAGCAAAAGTAGGAAATATTTGCTGTCTTGCATCACCTTCTTTCAAGATGGAATCTTTTTCAACTACATAGCAACGGATAGTTCAGCTGGGCGTCCGTGTTGGGAGCTCTTACAGCCATCTGAGCCTCAAACATCTGAAATCTCTTTCCTGCCGCTCGTGGCTGCTCCTTCCCAGGAGGAGAGATGCTCCTTCCCAGGCGCATCCCTGGCAGACGCCGTCTCTTGGCTGCGTGGTGCCCAGCTCCCCCCAGTGATGCGCTCGGTGCTCTTTGCTCACCAGCCTTTGTGTTGGTTGTTGCTAATTGAGACGTTTGTTTGTTGTGGCTTATAGCACGTGTTTGTAGAAACTTCTTTTTATAAACACCCTCCCAGCACACCCTCGCCCCCGCAGCGGGACACACCTCAAGTTTCATCCTCTGCTAGACTTCATCTCTGACACGGCCGCGCGAGGCCTTCCCGCTTGCAGAGACTAACATGGTTCACTGCAAACATTGGTGGAGTCTAAGTCAGAACTTTAGCTCGTTCCAGTGAGAAATCCTTTTCTCTTGAAGCACATGAGCAGCTACTGTGGCTCATGAAACTCTTGAGTTACATTCTGCTTGAGAGACCTCTGAAAGGCTTCTCCAGAGAAGCTGCCATCGTCTGTGCCTCTCACACTGGTGTGAAAAAAAAAGTGAATGGAACTGCAAGGTGAGATTTAAAACATGAGACTTGTTTTGAAACAAATATTATTATTATTTTTTGCACTGGGCGTAACTAATGGAGAGAACACAGAGTCACAATGTGCCCTCAAAGCTGAGCGTTTAACGGCATTCAGGACAACCTGCTCTTGTGCATTGACTGACGTGCTTCGGGTCACAGCCGAAACAGGACAGGGTGGAGGAGGAGGACGAGGAGGAGGAGGAAGATGCCTTGGGGGTGGATGACACCATAGTTGTTTGCAATAAGGCCTCTTCCCTTTTCCTGTGATGAAGCTGTTACGAGCTGCTGCCCAGAAGAGGACAGTGGACTGTTTAATGCTGAAAGGCTCACGTGGAGGGGGCACGAATTGCCCCCGGCCGCTCAGACGGCGCAGCTATCTCGTGCTCTGCGGCAGCGCCCACGCGCCTTGGCTGAAAGCAGAGGCTGGGGGAGAAGGACGTCTCTTTCCTTCGGGTGTGTGGCAGCAGCGAGGGGGGAGGCTGACGAGGCTCCATGGCGGGCTGGGGTGATGGCACGGTGTGGGGTGCGTGGGCTGCCCGCCCCCGAGGCACGGCCTTCCGGGAGCTCTGCGTTCACAGCCTTTGGGTGACGTGTTGGGCAGAAGCCGCCGAAGCTGCTGAGCACATCTGTGGGGGACGACTGGATGGCTCCGTACCTTTCAGGGCTTCAGTGGTCACGAATCCTCGTCCATCCCTCCTACCTCTGGTCAGTTCTTGTCAAGGAAATTCAATTTACTTATGTTGCTACACAGAAAAGCTGGGGAAGATCTATCTGGGGAATATGACTCATTCTCATAATTATACATTGTAAACTATCTTCCATTATATAATCATCAAGCAATTTTATTAACACTAGATAATCCCGTAGAACAATACTTCTCCTTCGTGAAGAAGAAATCCAGTCCCTGAAGTATGACTGTGTTGGAGGGAGAACGTTGTTCTCGTTCTGGCGCTGCTCTTCCTTCCTTTGCGGTTCGGCTGCCCAACACTTGGCATGAAACTGTTCTGCTCTCCACGAAAATTTAAATGATGAGGGGTTTTTTCTTATCTCAGTAAAAAGCTAGATGTGTGAAAAATCTAAGAAAATTTGATTCAGAATAGTTGAAACATGTTAGAGTTCCATCATGTTTATTATTTTAGTAGTGCATTAACTGAGATTTGTAAACAAAAAGGAATTCCCAACTGGTTACTCTGTAATGAGGCCACAATGTGCTTTGGAATCTTTTTTTCCCTCTAACTCAGCCATTGGTGCCCGGCAGCAGTTCCATCCAGAAATACTTGGGGGTGAAAGTGTTGTCAGTATCGTTTCTAGTGAAAAGTTTCATTTTCTCTAAATGTATTTTTGTAATTAGAAAGAGTTGTGTCCAAAACTTGTGCCCCGTTCTCCTCCTGGCAGTGGGACACAACCAGGGCACGTCGCTTTGTCCCCACAGCAGTTTGTACAATTGTCGTGAACCCGCAGTGCCCAGTGGGAACATCTGCAAATATATTCAGCGTTACTTGGAGGAAGAGCACCCAGGGTGTATTGTTCATTCTCTTTCTTCCTGTGTGTATTTATGGCCACATCTAATAAAATAAAGCAGTAGGGTTTTAGAGCTCCGTGAAATTCCGTGTGAACCATCTGCGTACGATCGTTCCCTGCCTGCCGAAACATACGGAGGCTTTTTTGAAGCGAAGGTGTTTAAAATGTCTGTTTTGAAGCGAGTCAGTCCCCACCTCTCCCGCTCTCTTCTGCAAGACAGGGTGTCAGTCTTGGCACACCCAAGGTGTGTGGGCACGGGGAGTATCCCTGGCACGTATCCGTACAGTATCTGGTGGTCCCAACACTGCACGTGTCCCCTCCGCCCGCTGAAAGTGGACTGCAGCACTGGGGGGCATCTGCTGCCTCCGTGGGAGCGCAGTCGGTAGTGGCCAATCCAGCAAATCCCTCTCCTCCAGGAAAAAAAATAATTCTTGCTTACATCCTACTGGATAGATTACTCACTCGGTGTTGCAGAGACTGGAACTGATGAAACATTAAAGGGCACCTTCAGAAGATCCCCCACCCAATGGAACGATGGTGATTACGATAGGAGCTGTAATTAGGTGAGTCAGAGCTGTAGGAGACTTTCACAGCACAAACCCTTTGGGGGGGAGTTGGTCGGTTTGGGTCCAACCAGCCCCTTGCACAGCTGACTTTTTGGGGTCTCAGCTAACGCTGCTTCATTGCGAGACCTTCACCAGCAAAGGGTCCTTGTGACCCACCTCCCACCCCGAGAGAGCCTGGCTCTCACTGTGCTCCTGCCCAACAACACGACGCAAAATATTCCAGGGCTGTTTGAAAAACATCAACAGGCCTCGGCAAACCGGTGCAGGGAGTTTCGGCCAGGGTGCTGCACCCCGTGCACGCGGGAGAGCACAGACGGGTCTGCACGGAGGGGTCCTGCGACAGTCACACAGCGGTCGGGTTGTGCCGACCTCGCTGCCAACGTGACCATGACATGGAGGTGGGTGAGCCGAGCGAGACGTCAGGACTGACACCTGTCCTGTGTTTTCCGCTCGTGGGATCTCCCCAGCGCACAGCGCCGACGCTGCTGCCTCTGTTTGGCTGTTTCTGCTGGAAGGAAATCACCCAGCGATGTGCTGCACGCCTCTGCCTGGGCACCCCGGGCAGCCTTGCTGAGAGCCGAGTGCCCTCTGCTGTGGTGTCCTCCATCTCCCAGTATCCCATGTAGTGACAGGCGAAATGTGTCCGAATCTCTCGGCACCGCGGGCACAGGGATCCGCAGCGGCAGGAGGGAACACTGATGTCCCCCCAGTGGGCCTGGGCAGTGCTGAGATCGCTGTGTGTGACGTATCGTCACGTCTTTATATAATGTTGGTTGAATTACATATTCCTGTACTTCAGAGTCGAACAGCAACTTCCATTTAGCCGCAGACGGTGTCAGCCCAACTCCTCTGCCTCTCCTGCCCTCTTAGTGCAGGTCCCGCTTCAAGCAGGGCATCCCTCGGTCTCACGTACCGCGGTCACGCGCTGCTCACCCGCCGTGGGTGGGCAGAACACGGGCAGGAGGGCTGTGCCAGACCGGGCCCTCGGAAGCAGAAGACTGGCAGGTCGGCATTTCGGTTGGATCCACCAGTTAAGAACAGCTGACACCTTATGGAGAGATGTGGAAAGCACCAGGATGTCTGTCTGCTCGCCGGTATTTACCGGGCACTTTCTCCCTTTCCTGGTTCTTTGGCACAAGCAGCATTTGCATCTCATGGTGATTTATTATTCCAGCATCTCTGAAGCGTTTATCTGAAATCAAACACGGTGCTCGTGAAAAACTTCTGCTCGAGTCTTGGCACAAGGCGGACGGGCTGCCCGTTCTGCCCTTTGTTCCCAGGCAAACACGTGCAATTTCTCTTTCCTCTGGAAAAAAAACAAAAACCAACCCAATATAAATATTTTCACAGGTGCTTCAGGTCGGTATTTCCTTATGTGTTGGCCAGAGGGAAACACCAGCGTGGTGACAGTTAGAAAGTGAAAACTCAGGCGCCAAATTCCCGGGATTTTAGTTTGGATGAGAAACTGTCTCGCTTCGGGGAGGGTTTGATCCTGCTGAGCTGAAATCCTCAGCTGCGAGTAGCGAGTGGGGGTGGCACGTCGGACCCCCGGTCTCTGCACAGGGGTTTGCACAGAGGCTAGTAGGAGCAACATGGCAAACCTGGCACCATCCCCGGGCAGGTGTGTGTGCTGCTGCCATTAACCTCTTCCTCCCCTGGAGCACTTCAGCTGGAAACCTCCCGGCAGCTGTTTCTGCCCCCATGGCTTTTCCCAGCACTGGTGGGCGCCACAAGGGCTGCCCCGGGCACGGGTCAGGGTCAGAGTCAAGGTCAAGGTCAGGGTCAGGGCCAGGGCCTGGGCCAGGGCGGCAGCGGTGCCTCTCCTGCCTCTGCCTTCTCCGCATCCCCTGCTCCTCGCAGCCCTGTCCGCCAGGGATCAGCCTTTGCTCTTCTGTGCTTCCAAGCCCGAATTCCATCCTGCCTCTCCCGCCCATCCGTCTCCCGCTCCTTGCAGTGCGTAAAGCGACCGCGAGCACAGGCAGGAGCGCTGGGCTTCAGGGGTGGGGTGTGTTCAGGAGCGGGGTTTGGGGAAATGCACTTGCTTTTATGCTTCAAATATTTTTTAATTTCTCAGCAAAGGACTCCCAAATATTTGTGAGAGCGTTTGTGCCATGTTGTATATAAAAAGGGCTTTCAGGTCATCCGCTTTTTCCATCCTGTCTCTGCACGGCTGCGGGTGCCCACCCACCCCTTTGCTGTCTCAAGAGAAGAGCAGATTCACGATAAAATTTGGGTGCTGCCATCTCGGCACCTGCTCTCGCTCTGCTGACAGCACCCAAGAGAAGAGGCACCTGCGTTGCGTGGTCCCTCTCCCGGCAGAGGTCTGACCCACAAGGGATGGGCTTTGCTCTGCAGGCTCGCTCGGACACGCTTGCATGGCACAAGTCCAGAAGACAGGTGAGGTCAGAAGACACCTCCTTCCCCCCAGATGACTGCAACAATGATCTGCTGAGATATGACTGACATCGTACTCCCCAGCAGCCAGCGCATCTCACAGCTTAATGCCTGACACATCTGGAGAGCAGCTGGAGATGTGCACCAGGGATGGCTACTAAGCCGATAAAAGTGCACGGATATAAACCATCCTGAGCTTGCTTGTTCTCGGAAATTTCTGTCACTGATCTCTCTGCTCTCTTTTCATTGACACCCTCCAGCTCCACTCACTTCCTTCTCTGGTGTTCTCCAATGAATTTTAGCAAAATGCTCTGTGGGAAACATACAGGCGTCTGCCGGGGTCAACTGTTGGTGTAGATCGTGGAGGATGTCACGCAGGATCGGGCAATGTGTGCTACAGGCTTTGACAGGGAGGAGGTGGACAAGACCTACAAGGTCAGTGAGGCCGTTCTCTGGCTCCCACTGGCAAAGCAGCTTTGCCCCCAGTGCAGATCCTGACCAGTTTAGGTGACCCTTGTGAATGGGTTTCCAGCTTTTCCTGCTGGGGCCGTTGCAGAGCCAGCCAGCCTGGCTGAGGCTGTGCTTGGCACCTGGATCAGCACCAGCTTTTCTAAAGGCACTCAGTTTCCAGACACAGGTTTCTTGATTGCATCAGGCAGAAGCAAAGTTTATTAGCGAAATTTTTTCACCAGCAGGTACATTAGTGATCCTGACTAACTCAAGTAACTAGAGGTTCCAGCATTAGAGAAGAGAAGCAGCAGAACAGAGAAGGGGGCCCTCAGCAGCCCCTTGAGATACGCGGCAAAGCATCGCTGAGTTACTTCTACTTTCTCTGCGTAGGGGCGTGCGGTGAACACTGAGTGTTCGTGTTTTGTCTGTGGGTTTCTCTGCGTGTCATCTTCTAGTCTGTTCCTCCTTAATCACAAATTCTCCTGCAGGTCACTGGAGAAAAAATGTAGCAGCATTATTTGATTGGAACAGAGATAAAATTCTTCAAATAATAAGAATTTGACTTATGTAGTGCCCTTATTTCAGGAATACCCTCTGTTTAAGAAGAGCGGTTGCAGACAAGCCAGGAACTCCCAGAAACTCCCTAAACAATTGTGTTTTAATGGGAATATGCACTTGTAAAGTTGTAGATTTGCTCTTCTTTTCACTCCTCCCAGACTCTTTTGCTAAGCTCTGTTTGTCTGTCGTCTTCTTTGCTTCTACTTCCAGATCTTTTCTTTATTCCTCATTTCCCCAGCTTTCTCCCTTCAGTCCTACTGCTCCCTCTTGTCTCTCATTTTCTTTCTGCCACTCCACACTCAGCCAGAGCCGGAGCTCTCTGAACCTGCTTCGTGGTGACAGCCAGTTTTGCGCCGTGGTTGGACCCGTTGTCACAGACCACACCTGTAGCATGGGATCTCTCTGAGGGGATACCAGTAACGCGTCCTGGGAGAGCGTGTTGTCTCCTGGCCTTATTATAAAAAGCTGAAAGAACTGAAAAAAACAATTTTTCTTCTGTGGAAACATGGCTCTTACCTTGTATATCTCCGGTCTTGCAGGGTGGGACCTGGGGCTGGCAATGGGAAGATGAAGTTGCAGTGTAGGTGTGACTTGTCCTAATGACTCCTCCTCCTACACCAGTTCCAATTCCTCCTCCGTGACTAGTGGGACAAATTTGGTGAGAGAAATAGGGAATTTTAGAACTTTGCATGATACTGCTGACTGACTCCACGACACGAAGGCTCAAACTATGTCTTTTATAGGGGTTGTGGCATTTTACATCGCGTTCTTTTTTCATTTTCAGAGTCGCTTTGCTTTGCGCCCTCCTTTGGCAGGAAAATGCAGTGCAGAGCTCTGCAGTTCGTTCTTATTTTCACAATTCTCACCTGTTTTACTATAAAAGAGATTGTTACGAATGCTGACATAATACTAGTAGTTGCAGTGTTGTAACTGGCAGTTTACAGATTTGGTTTCTCTGCTTTGCAGATCCCCAAAAGTGACACTTAGTTCAGATTTGAATGTTCATCCCAGAAAAGTGATGGGACAATTTTTTCATCTCAGTGAAAACATTAAGATGGACTAAAGACTATCTCAGCGTCCCAATCCGTAATACAGATCCTTCATATTTTCTTTTATTCTTTAGAGAGCTACATACATGAGGTCCTGCTGTCCTCCTTCCAACAAGCACCGGTAGGTCTGAATCTCCTGCTCCAAACGGCACTTGACGTCCAATAAGGTCTTGTATTCTTGGTTCTGGCACTCGATTTCCGCTCGTATTTCAGCCAGTTGCTGCTCCACGCACGTGATCTGGTTCTGTAGGTCACCGAGGAGGGTGTTGTACTGGCACTCAGTCTCAGCCAGAGAGGATTCCAAATTATTTCTCTGATAAACAAGAGAACCAAAGAAACAACATTCATTTAAGTGTCACCCTGGTGCTTATTATTCCCATTGCAAAACTGAAAGAGCTGTTCGCCGCCATCACGCTGATGGGTAGGTCCGGCTGCTCACCCTAAGAAACCCGGCAGCACCCACGTCCCAGCTGTAACAATCTCAGCACCCACCTGGCTGAGCTGAGCCTGGAGATCGATCTCCAGGGCTTGCAGTTGGCGTCTCAGTTCGGTGACCTGGTTGTTGCACGTCTCTACCTCCTGACCACTTGTAATAACCTCCCGATTCACCTCCTCAATCTGCAAAACACCAATCCAGGATCAAGGCTCAGGGAATGTCTGGGTCAATGGGACCTGCTTTGCAGCAGCAGCGCGCACTGAGCAGCTGGCAAAGCGCGAAGTGAGCGGGGCGAGTTCTCTGGGCGCTGGGCGTTAACCGCCGGCTCCGAGCGCTTACTCTTTTGGCAAATCATATTCACCTCGTGGCTATTAAGTCCTTTCATCCAAGTGTTCCAAGAACACACCACAAGGCCTCGCGGCAAAAGCTGCCGTTGCAGATGGGACACAACAAACTGGTCAGACAGGCCCGTGTCTCCTGGGGAACACAGGCTGCAACGAGTGCTGACCTCGGGCTTCCCGGTAAGGGAAGAACTGCAGATTGTCTCCATGTCTGTTTTCTGAAACGCTCCTGTGCCCCGAAATGTGCGTGTGAGTGTGTTTCGCAGCAGGCGTGTCGCTCACCTTGCACTCGTACCAATCCTCGACTTCCTTGCGGTTGCGCGCTATCAGCGTCTCATACTGGCACCTCAGATCCTCCAGGATTTGCCGGAGGTCTGGGCCAGGGCAGGCATTGACCTCCACGCTCACGTCTCCAGTCGACTGTTTCCTCAGGCAGTTCATTTCCTGGAAATACAACCCAGATCAGACGCACGGTGGCTTTGGAAAGACGACGTGGCAGAGCAGACTCGGTGCCCACGAGACGTGCTCCCGGCGGGGGCTGCCACCGGCTGCGGCTGTAAAGCTCTGGGAGATGGTGCAAGTGTTTTCCCCAGCAAGTCTGTTGGGTAATTTCTCTTCTCATCTGCTGGAGTCAGCAGCAACATTCACCCCCCCGGCGCTCCCAGGGCCAGCACAGCCCCAGGAGCAGCAGCCACCTCTGCCGGAGCCCCCGCACCAGCCCGAGGCAGACGGGACGGAACCCTTGGATGGGACAGCTGTGGCGGGACAGTGGTGGATCTTTACTTTT